GTTGTCGTGGTGTGGGCATATTTGTTCGTCAGCTTTGTTTGTACAGTGATTGTGTTAACAGCGAAATTCCTGAAGTTGACAATAGTTCTACGAAACGGTACTACACGATTTGCTACATCTGAAGCCATATTTTATAGTTTCATTTGAAGTTTCAGAGGCTTTCTAGATGTGTTTACAGTTATGTGGTAAGGAGAAATTTCGTAGCATTTGACATTATTCTTCGTTGTACCATATCAGTTTTCTTACAGGTGAATGATGTAAGTATCCAAACTGATTCAGTCCCATGAAGTAATGTACTTGTTTAATTGTATGACGAAACCTGAAACATATGGGTTCCGAATAGATGGTCGAAATCAAGTGACTGGCAGGATTGTTTTCGTCGCAACGTTGAACTCCTCGCTGTTTTATATAGTTCTCTATAGTGGGAAGGTTTTTGGTTCAAAACTATGATTTATATTTTGAATTGTAATACAGATTAATGGTTTAAATTTAATCACATTCAGTGAACACTGCGTGCATGGTACAGTTTCTACTGGAAAGGTATCGACACACATGGCAACGGTAATCGAGTTTCGCAGCTCAAATCGCTGTACAAATTTGAACAGCGTTGTCTTGCGAATGAGGTAGATACTGGGAAGACGTTTATGCCATATGCGACCAGAAACACGTGGGTTCTTCTATATTCTGTGAAGGCTTCGTGTCACGACTGTTGACACGTTAATTAACAGCCCTGTTTCACAACCATCGTGTTTACACTAAAGATATATATATGTGTCGTTCTTGTTTACTTGCTCTGCAAACTGTCGTCACATGGCAGGTCGACACATTTCGTAGATGAGCCATTTTTTTTTATTCGCACCTAAGTTCGCGTAGAAAGACATTGCCACTCGTCGTTCCCTGCACCTTGAAACACAGATGACTCTCGTTATATGCGCATTCGCTGTCCGAGTTTTCGCATATCCGCGGTTTTGTTTCAATGTCATGAGGAGTATCCACATCCGATTCGCGTCCACGGTAGATGCTGTCGCGAAGGCCGGCTTAGTTGCTTCACAGTTTTGACTCCGGGGTATATCACTCAAAAATCCTCGGTAATTTATGCGTTTATCGTTTTATGCTTTTCCGATTTCCGTGGCAATTCGCACGTATAACGAGAGTCACCTGTATTTGCTATCCAGTACCGATACATCTCTGACTGGAGTGTGCTCTGTATCCTGGAAAACAGTACTGGAGTGTCCTTAATTGTTTTATACGTTGCAAGTGTATTTTTTTTTCTGTTTCTGCCTTTATGTATGGTTGAGGATGTTTATGGAAGCCAGGGTGATTGCAAATTTTACGGTGAAAACGTGAAAGCCATTGTTCCTGTGCTTGAGCACTACTCGATAAATACATGGAGGGCCTGGAGGGAAATCTCCTCATATTCTTGCCGTTAGCACCACGTGACGAAAGTGACGAGCTTTACGTTCTAGCCGTTTTACACCTGAGAAGAGGGCCCCAGTTACAAGTTTAGTAGTGGACTAGACGGGCTGCTGAGCCAATCTGGACACGGCGGCGAAAAAATTCCTGTTACCACTTGGAATCGAACACCTTTGTCCGTCTTAATTACGCAGTAGTCCACAGGAAATGAAGCTTCGTTTGTGGAGGCTGCTAATGCAAGAAGACTGGCGCAACGAAGCTTAATTATGGAAGTGCCATTTCAATTATGTGGAATATAGTAAGGCTGGTTCTTGAACTAAGTGGTGTAATGAAAGGGTTCTACCTCGCAGAGTGAGAAGAAAAAAGTTTGGTGGGCGTGAGACTCCTTCAGTAAAGAATATTTTATTTTTGATGGGGTAAGGGGAACAGTCATTCTCAGTTGAAGAAAGAAAGTTTTAGGCTAAAGGCATTCGTTTAATGCATTTTGTGGTTTCGGAGGAGATCCTTCTTTCGAATCTCGTCCCAGAAACCTGCTGTTCTGAGGTTTTCTTTGGTTCCATCGGAAAATTCTTTGAGATTTCCGTAAAATAATTCAGAACCGCTTTATTCTTAATATTTTACAATCCATCATTTACATTCATCCTACGATTTGACGCTACATAACATTTGCAGTTGGAAAAGCGTCGGTAAATAATCTGAGAATCATCCAATTAAGTAGTTCTACCAGCACATGTGTTTACGAAAACATGACACAAAAGTTAGAATTCTTTTTACAATTTCGGTAATCACTAACGTTGAGCACAAATACACTACGTATGAACTGCTTGGTCTTCAGTTGATGAAAACAGTTGAAATATCTCTAGTTTTATGTTACCCGCGGTCCGATTTGGATTTCAGTTGAAACAGCGCGGGAAAGCTTTCAAATCGATTCTCATACTTACTCAGACTTAAGTCTGGCCAAATTTTTGACTGTACAGTTATTAGGCCCCCCCCCCCCCGGCAATACTCATAGTTTTAATTGCAATTTCGGCCTCTGTGGTTCAAACTGAGAAAAAGAAACTGAACATGTGTAGGGGTCTTTCATCAGCGGTTACCTCCTCCCGCTGCGAGTTATGACAAACTACTGCGTTTACACTAACTGGCGCATGTTTTGTGTCATTTATCGTGATGTAACACGCTACTTTCTACACACAGTAAACAAATTAAGAGAAAAGTTATTACGTCAGTACCTTATATTAACTGTTCCTTCCAATACCATTGTACAAACACGATTTGGCTTACGAACATGGGGATCGTTCAAAGCAAACTCATTGTGGCGTTTCTGCGATTCTTTATATGTATTTTAATTGTCGCCTTATTTTTTGCATTTCTTAAACCGAATTTCTTCCCGAGGTTTGTTGGCGTGCAGTGGTCTTGCAGAAAGCTGATCCTTACTGATAACAGATAATGGAACGGTGTACAGAACCGGTTCTGCGGGACTTGAATAAAGTGCAATTTTATATAATACAATTCTGTGCCATTTCAGTTATTCAGGACATTTATTTAACTAACCACAATTGTGCGACTGACTGACTCTGAATCAACAGGACCTGTAAGTTGAAGATGGCTGGCTAATACCCAAACTCGTAGAGTGTTTTCACCCTTTGCCAGTTTGAATGATTAATCGAACGCTATTTTTAGTGTTATCCTTCGCCCGTAATAACCAATCACTTCTCGCAGTGAATTGTTTTGATAGCCAACATCGAAGTGGAGTCTACCTAGTGTCGGCTGTCCGAGACTGCTTGTTTAACAGTCACACTTGACTCTACCATCCAGGTTAATCAACTGTTGGCATAAGTGCTTGTTAGTGTGATCTGTCTATATAAACATATTTGCTCCATGAAGATATGTTACTACCTATAGATTCAGTTGTCAGTGTAAAGGTTATGTAGCCATAAGATAATTTCATAACTTTGTCCACTCTGTCCACTATAATTTAGAGCGACTTGCCCAATTACAGGCAGACAGATAATTAAGATATAAATACGGATTTCTAATCATTGCCAACATGACGAACAGCGAAGATGGCTGTCTTCTGGGATGTTTTCCCGTGTAGTCTGGTGATGATCGCCCTGACGTGAAGGCAATAAGCTCCTTTCAAACGTCGGTCATTATCCACTAGACCACACGGCGCAAAATCCCAGAAGACACCCATCTGCGTACTCGTCGCTGTGAGAATGTAAAAACTCGCATGAACAGCGCTTGTTTTCTTCTGTTTGTTACTGATTTGTTTATTTTGGACTTGTCCGTCATCTGTTGAAAGTTTTTAAAAAAGTCTTAAACATCACAGCGTTTCGAAAGATGGGTCTTCTTCCTTCGTCATCAAGCGTGGAAGAAGACACCTACTGTGCTGGATCGGGTAGACCGAGCTATTTCCGATTTGTCCACAGACGATGGAAGAATTCCAAAATAAAGAAATCAGTGCTTCTGTTCCTCCAGCTGGAGGAGGGAGTCTGTAGATCAGAATAGAAACATATGGGAGAGGTGAGTTTCTCTCCCCAGTGAGTAGTGTTATATCTGTGTTCTTCGCGGTGTCTGGAGAATTTCTATTTTGACACGAAGACACAGAAAGACAACTGTAGAAGAGAAACAAACGTCTCTTTTCAGTAGTCTTCTCGGGCGATTAGCCACGTGGATATGAAATTAATTTCGAACGTTTCAGAGGCTGTGAATCCATAATCAAGAGGATGTCGGTCCTTGGTGATGGAGGCAGATAAGTGTCGAGACGTAGTACGCTGTTTCCATACTCACACGGCTGATAGCCCGAGAAGGCATGCGGTTACTCGTCGTGAAAGCTTTGCTAACCATAACCACGTTTCTTGTGGTCGTTTCTGTCATGGCATCGTCATACTGCAATTACTTCTAGTTAGATCAGTGGGTTTGTAGTCGACACACGCACTCGTGGTTTGCTGTTGTTCTGTAAATTCGTTTAAGGAATCAAAACCCAAAGTTGAGCGTCTGCTTCTCCCAAATTTCGATATTGTTATTTTCCAACCCAAGGACCTCTGAAACGGCGTTGCGATCCAACTATAAAACAGCCATCGTAGTTTGAGATGGATTGTTTGAAATTATTAGTCGCTTCGTAAAAAGGCAAAACGGCGGATTGAGTTTAAGTTCTCTGTCTGTTGACTGTGTTTTGTGGATTCCTTTCCTAGAAGTAACAAGGCTTGCTACACGCTCAAATTAATTTTGACCGACAATTTGTCTCGTTAAGATCTGTAAGTTCAGTTCTAAATATTTTTATGTTTAATGCACATTTCACGAGACTGTCCATTTCGGTGATATAACTCAAATTCATGTCAGTGTAAATTCTCGGGTCACGAGTTCAAAGACGCGACAGGCAGAAACGTGTCTCAGACACAAATAATAAAATTGGGAAAATTACAAGAGTTTTATTTTCTTGAAATGTGTTATTTTCATGCTACATTTGTATGCTTTCTGAACTGTAACTAACGCAGAGATTGGTTTGTATTATGGCGATGCTAATTGTGTTACGCACTCATTCACTTTACGAAGTCTGATTTGTTGGTTTCTGCTCTTGTTCACAGAGGGCGGCAGCGCACCAGCAGCAAATAGCAGCTCAAAGTGAGTAATACCTTCTCGTTCGATAATGCAGCTCACTGCAAGGTTAACATAGAAATCCAACAGTATTATGCAAAGTGGCGTAACGGCTCTCGGGTAGTGCGGAAGGAGGAGGAGATTGGTGAATAATTTCTCTCCTCACGCCCTAGGCTGTTGGAATTCTGTCATTACAGCCAAGTGGGGCGACATTAAAACGAAATTCAAACTAACCACACCATTGCATAGAGCTGCATTGTTTAAAATAATTTCTTGTTTTAAGTATACGAAGAGAATTGTGATATTTATTTTTGATGAGTTTGTCTTAATTTTACTAATGTGATGCCTAATTATAACCGGCCTTACAAATTGTAAAATGTTTTATAAATGGTAAGTAGTGAATTCTATTAGAATATGATAATGGCTGGAAATACTAGAGTACAAAACAGAACGAAAAGTAACCGATGCGAACCAGTGTCTGAAACGTCAACAGCGTTACTTTTTCTGGAATCCACGTGATATAAGCATACGAGAGTTGTTTCTCGTTTGTTTGATGTGAATATAAACTTGCCTTTTTTGACACACGGAACATGTGTGCGGGTTATACAGGAGTTGCTCAGCTTCTGTTCGATTGGACACCGACGCCACATTTCGGTGATACGATTTTCGTAGAAATTCTGTCTGTGCCTTAATAGTCTACAAGCTTCGTGCATGGTACAAGTGTCGCCAGCGTGGAAAATATGCGGTGACGCAATTTTCAGTTATAACCTTGTTTCGAAAATGCAAATATCCGATAGTGACAGGTCTTTCTTTATGGCTTCCTCCACCACGTGACCCCATGTCCTTGTGAGACGCCTTAGGCATCACGTGTCACATGGCGAGTTACAGGCCCGTTTCGAGCAGATTTTACGTGGAATGATTGATTTGTTATGTTGTGTGGTGTGGTGTCGAGCAATGAGGATGGATGTGTTTTGTTTATAACTGGAGAGGTTCTTTATCGTCGGATGAAACGAAAATCAGATGAGCGTGATTGATTGATTTAAAAACTGGATTGATTCGTACAGACGTAGTTTAGAATCAGATGAGACGGGAAGATCTCTTTATATTCTGTTGTCTGTTTCCTGGCCTCGTAAAAGTGAAGTCAGTTTCGGAGTCACGAAGAAGTGTTATTATACACTGCTGATATGTTCCATCTCTACGGAATACCTATTCATAATCACCAGTCATCTCACCAGATTTAGATGTCAGGTTCTTAAGGCACCTTGTACGAACACTATTTCTGGATTGTTGTGCCATATAGTGTACCGACATTTCAGAGGTGCTGCTGTCCCCTGCTTGATAAATTTTTTATGCTTAAGGTTTAGCCGTGAGCGAGTATCCGTTCTCTTTTCATAGTTAATTTTATCCTTCTTTTTCAGCCGTTTATCAACTCGCGGCACTCTTAAAATGTATAATTACTTAGACCAAATCGATAGTGCAACATACAGAAGCTCAAAATGTGAAAATGTGCAAATTCTGAAAGTCACAAAGTAATATGAATATTTCTATTCTTTGCCAGGAACGTTATTCGAAATCGGTTTCTGCGTAAAAATTGTTTTGTCGCATCCATTCCACTTTGTTAGCCGAGGATGCCGCGCCGTGTTGCTGCGGCAACTTCTCCGACACTTTCGTTGGACGGGTTGCGTGTTCACGGCGCCTCGGGCGTTGTGAAGTGACAACCGTGTGGCATGTGGATAGCAGAGTGCTTGTCGAGAATGATTGCTTCTCAATTCTTGTAAACTGGGGACTCGTTTTCCAGCAGTTTGTTGATTACCAGGCAGTAGTGATTCATTGTCACGCTCGCTTAGAACGGAGGAACTGCGTTGGATAAGTTAGGAATGAGACGAATGTGGAGTAATACCACTGTACCACTGAAATTACAAGGGTTGAATGAAAAGCGATTTACGTGGTACAAAGGATGTGAAATAGAACCTGTTTTCTCTGCACTGGATGAGTAATGAAGCCTTCCACTCTGCTGTAATAATTTCCGCAAGGAACTTGAGATTTTAGTTTCTCACAATGGCGAGTATGAAGATGGCTGTCTTCTGGCATGTTGCACCGTGTAGTCTAGCACAAACTGACCGACGATTTAGACGTGATTATCGACCTGATGGTGGAGGCAATAAGCACATCTGAAATGTTGTCAGTTTCTACAAGACTGCACGGCGCGACATCCGAGATTGAAATGTCTCAAAATATACTATTTAGTTCGGAAACAGCGTTCTGTTCTGTTTGTATCTATTTGTATTTGTTATTCGTGAAAAGTGAATGTTAGTTTTTGAGCTGCATTGGGCAGGGCAACTTAGCGGGAACGCATTCTTGATTTATGCCTTGTCCTAATCTTAGTCAGTCCACCACAGGCTATGTTATGTCATGGTTGGTCTCCGTAAATAGCGGGACAATTCCTTAAAGTAGACCGCGGGAACTTATTTCTTCCATAATTTCTAGTTCCTTGTTTATAACATCCTTTCATCCTATTCGTAACGCCGTAGTTGATGCAGTATCGTTGAATCAACCGCGAATGAGTTAAACGTAATCCAACTCGAACTGATCATATTTAGGTGCTTACACAAGCTGTGAACCATAAGTTTGCGTTGCATTTAAAGTGTAAATTGTGTTTTAAGCTAGTTGTGAGTAATATTTTTCTACACCCTGTCCTCGTGAAATTAGTTGGGTCACCTCGCCGCTAGGCGCGCCAGCAGCTGGAGTGGCGTGAGGAGAACGCCATGCTGATCTGTTGTTGTCCGCCTGGCGTGGTGCGTGGTTGTGTGTGATCATTTGCACAGAGATTTCAGCATTGTGTCAATGAGGTGGCTTGAGCCGTAGTCTGTCATCAGATTGACAGTTCGGTTTGTCATAAGTGTCGTGAATAACATCAAGTTTTTGCTGGAGTGGTCTGTATTGTTTTATTATGCTTTGAATAAGCCGATTTAAGCGTTTTGTAATAGCATTCACTGTAATGGCAGAAGGTCCATTGCATAATGAACTTTAATTGTAAGGAGGGTTAGTGCAAGCTGTAATTTTGTGCGTGAGGAGTTACTGACGTCATCGTGCATGTTGGGGAGAGTTGTCAGGTGATATTTGCTGTTGTATATATGTGAAATAATATTAACTGTGTAGGCATGTATTTCCTAGAAACGGAAAGAGCCATCCGTCATATTGCACGTACATCGAAACTGGTCTTGTGGTATTATGTAATACTGTCGGTCTACATCCACTATTGTGTAAGGAGCTGTATTATACGCGACGAGAGGTTTAGCCTATTACAAATACTTTTTTCGCTGTAGAAAGGCTTTCTAGTGCATAAAAGTGGAAATAAGTTTCGATTTAACACCCTTCCCCGCGCTTCCACAAAGCAAATTGTTTCTCGGAAGGGTCAGTATCGTGGTGCTAACCAACGCGCATTGCATTAGTCCTTTGGATCAGTGCAGAGAGACAGAGGTCCTGTAGAACTTTCTACCTGGTGGAACCATGCAGTTCAGTTGTTTGTTGTAACTGTTGTTGACGTCTTTCTTCCTGCATGGCCCCGACTTCTTCAAAATAATATTTCTGTGTTTTGCACTTGTCATTGGCTCTACATTTTCATTTCGTGAATGCTGATTTTTGGTGCTGTTTTGTAAATAGCGTACGAAAGAGACATCGAGTATGCAATGTTATCATCAGTCCAGCAATTCTTGTGTAAGATGACAAAGCATAAACATTTTCGTTGTGTAAGTATCTCGAGAATCGTCACAGATTCAAGGGAAAGTATGTTGTATGATTTTAACAGACAGTGTGTAGTTAAATTCCATGATCATTTGATAATAACCGCAGGTGGACAATATCAAGGCAAGGAGGGATGGTAACTGGGCGATCGAGCCTATGAAAGATGACGAGGCTGTGTTACAATACTCGGTGCAGGGACCCCGAAACAGCATTCGTCAAACAATGAGCGAGTTTTGCTTGGAACTTGTGACCTCGTAGCAGAACATCTTTTACATTTTCCATTCATGGGCTGTTGCGCATCGTTCAGGTCCACTTTCAGAACTGGGCGTCCTTGGGCGAGTTATGCCTCGTCTGTGGACCGACATCGGAGATGCAATGGAAGGTTGCAGTGGAGACGCGGCGTACGCATGGATCGATCAATTACTGCAGTCAGCATTCACTGAGAAGTTCGTGTAGATGGGCAATATATTGTGTTGAGTACTGTCCGTAACAATTCCGCAGTAGGGGAGGATTTAGTATTGTAGGCCTGTAGGATGGTGTTACTTTGTTGGGTGGGAGTGGATGGAAGTTCCATAGAGAATAATGCCGAAATTCTCTTCCAGGCTAGCTGATAAATTGGACTAGAAGTATAAAAATATGTTCCTAAAATATACAAATTTTACACTATACTGAAAATATACAACAGAGTTACGTGTATGTAACATGTAATTCATACATGTTGAATATTTTATATTTTTAAAAACAATAATCCAAATCAGTTTCATGTTTAAATTAACGTATTGTCATAATACATTGTTTATTTAAAATACGGACTTAAATTGCGTCAGAAGTTTTAAAATAAGAACTAGAATCTTTATCTGTCCAGGAAGTAAACTGTTAAGTTTGCCCTTATAAAACGCCCCAGTTCGGGAATGCAATGTTTCCGTACTCATGTGTACATTTTGGGAATATTTATTGGATCTGTTAAAAGAGTCACTGCATATTTTGTATGGATGATACTGTATCGTATTCCTAGAAGTGCCTTTTTTGAGACGTTGAACAATCGTAAAGAGAAACCATCTGGGATCTTCGAAATCGATATCCCCATAAGAACGTGATAACGGCTGTGGGTGAATTTTTAGTCGGTTGCAAGTCTCCTATAGGAGTTTATGCGGGGTCCATACCAGTTTCATAAACCAGTTCTAAAGGGCTCTGACAATGATACACGAGCAATAGCTGACGCGCTCTAAAACCCACTGCTTCTACAGTGGTATATTGCAATTAGTTATATCGGGTTTGTGAAC